GGCAGTGGCTCACGGCGCATCCGTGCCTCCTCGCCAGGCGGCGTCTCAGGATTTCGGGCTCTTCGTGGCAGTGGTTCACGGCACATCCGTGCATCCTCGCCAGGTGGCGTCTCGGGAGCGTTGAGGAGGCTGCAAAGCTGCGCGGTGAGATTTGGATCCACCAGCACTGAGCCCGAGCGCTGAATCACAGGTCTCACATTTCCTGAGGGCAAGCAATGGCTGGGCCAAGAGCCGCCGTGATATGCGATACGATGCCATACTAGACACAAAAATCACAACAGGGTCTGGCCCGATTACATAAATATAACCAGCGGCTATAGGAAGTGGCACACAGCAAAGGCAAGCAGAACAGTGGGACAGACTTGGCAGGAGGGCACGGGCATGTCTAAACATGGCTGACCTGTGGTTGGGTCAGGGTATTGTTCAGGGTCACTCACCCCGACCAATTGTGGTGGTAAGAAAAGGAACAAAAAACCTCACTGCTGCAACTCCATTATGGGGATGGACAGGGCCCAGAAAAGCAGCAGCTAGGCCTTTCCATTGTTCAAGCTGCACCCGCCGGACCTCAACCGCCAGCGCCGGACAGCACACAACAACAAAGACACATCCACACCACACAACCACAAAAACAATTCCACACGCAACACACAACCTCACACAAAAAAACAAATCAATTTGGATTTGGAAATCGAAGTGGAATATCGCTGAGGAAAGTTGCGTTGCAAATCAATTTGTTGGAGTGGCCTGTGACCAGTTTCTGTTGGCCCCCGGCTGGCAGAAATCAATAGCGCGCAACATGTTCTGACTGGGGCTGTCCGAACGTCTGAGGATCTTTGCGCAAGATGGATAATGATATGACTATGTTTGCTGCTGCTGAGCCTGCGTCTGCCACTCTGGCGAAACCTGCTGCAACGAGCAGGCTGCTGCTGCTGCTCCTGCTGCTGCTGAGAGCATCTGAAGAGGTTTTAGCTGAGGAAGGCTGTGTTTCCTTCTGTTGATGAGTATTCAGCTTACGTGGAGTCGGAGGGAAAGTCCTTGTTTGTCTTTTCTGGAAAGACCATACCAGAATAATGCTGTGATTGGACGGCGTTTGTTTTGCAGAAGTGTGCAGAAGATGCACGCATGCTAGAGCGTGTGGAGGGGGGCTGCCACGCACTGGGACTGGAAACAATGTTTCAAATGTTTCAGATGTGTGCCGACAGAGACCAAACGTGTGATGATTTGGAGAACTGCAAGCTTGTTGCGCGACTTGGATCTAGTGGAAGAACGGCATGTGTGGCCACACCTGGCAGAGTCGATGCTGACTATGGACGGGCTGATTGCTGTCTTAACTGGTTTTGACTGGAGCGGTCCGACTGCCACAAGCTTTTGATCTATGATTCAGGTCACAGACTGGCATGTTGCGGCATGTTTGCCTGAAGCCATTTGATGTCTGACTGCGAAGGTGAGGGTATGAACAAAAGAAAGGTTGCTTCATTTACAGTCATGCGCTACCTCAGCCCATGCGGTGAGCCAGCGCACTCCGGCCGCGGAGCGCGAATTCATCTACTGGTCACTCAAACTTTCTTCGGCCACACATTCCATGTCCACAAGCAAGGTCAAAGACACATCCACAGCACACAGCGACAACACACAACCACAAATAAAGACACATCCACAACACACAACCACAACGCACAACCACAAACACGTAGCGACAAACACCAAACACACAACCACTAACACACACATAATCACAAACATGCCAGACAAAAAGGCAACTAGAATTTTAGATTATATACCAGATAGAATGTCACAATATATGTCAAAGAAACTGTTTCTGTTGTGTGTCCTGTGCACCTCTTCTTCCTTTGCCTTTACCGGACCAAACACCTGACAGGCCGTATGCCGCTGTCTTGCAAGAATATCAGTCACATCTGACAAGCAGCAAACTGTGGCAGAAAGAATGCCGAAATAATGTTTCAATACATGCAAGAAAATGTGTCAGATTGAAATGTCATGGTGGGGATCACTCGAAGTGAAATACCTTTTTCAAGATGCAGGGTTTCTAGACCCGTGTAAACATGATCTGCAGCCAAATCTACGATTTTCCGGTTCATACAAATACATCTCAATAATTGATCATGGGACAAATCGACAAGCAGGGCGCTTGCAACCCGCCTGCAGGTTGGACACCTTCCATCTGGAAAGCGGCTGACTAATTATGCTGAGGCAGTTCGGCCCCGCTGGGCAATTTCTGCTTTCCAAGCTTCTCTGGCTGATCGTTGCTGAAGTCGGAGCATCTATGATAGTTCGATCCTGATCTTGGCCTCAGCCATGGATGTGTCCGCTTGCCAGGACCGGGGGGCACATTGCCCAGTAGCTTCCAGTAACCATCAGGGATGTCTCCTTCCAAAATCTCAAGAACATGTCCGCGCAGAAGAACCAACCTGCCAACATGACCTTTCATATTTTTGACTGGCACATCTTGGGTCCCCCACCAGCAGGTCTGACCGGCGCCACAGGCTGCTCTGGTCGTTCAGGCTCCCGCCGCGCTGGTCTCTCTGGACGCTCGGGCGGCGGCCTCGCTGGCCGTTCCACTGGTCGCTGGGGTGGTCGCTCGGGCTCTGGCCGCTCGGCCACTACGCTGAGCACCTCCTGCACTGAGCGGTAGGCCAGGAGCGCCACTTCAGCATCATGGGCTACCGAATGGCTGCCCCCACCCACAGAAACCTTACAAACGTGGAGGTGGATCTTGGAGGGTAAAACAGTTTATCGATCGGGGACAAGCCATGGAGGCAACGCGTGAACATCAACCCATTATTTAAATGCATGTATATGTTCGATGTGTTCTGAGATCTCTAAGAACCAACTCCGAGGCATGCTGATTATATCTGATGATAACAGCAAAAGACATGTAGAAAACACAAACGCGTTAAATCTGGCTCACCTAGTGACCTAGTGGAACAAACATATTGGCTCATAGGTGTGCACTGAAGTGCCAGACTAGGTGATGATTCTAGCCAACTGCCAAGCAAGGTGAGGTCACTTGGATACTCAACTATCATTCTGGCGGTGATGCATGAAAACACCCAGAGCCAGGCTTTTCTGTGTTCACACTCAACAGCTTCTGGCACTGAAAACATGTCAAGGCCAAGTGACTGGAGTCCCTCCACCAGGTCTGGTTTCTGCTTGACTTGCCAGCTCGCTCTGCACCGCCTCTTCGGCTGCAAATCTCACTAATTCCTAGGTCAAGGTTGGTGTTCATCCTGCTTCACGGCAGGTCTCATTTCTGCCAAAAAAATGCACGTTTTGCCAAACCAGCACCAACGTGTCATATAGATCTGTGTCAACCAAGGGCGTCCGGATTCACAAGTCATCGCTGAGTTGTATACACATGGGAACTGCTGCATGCAAACTTACGACAATTAGGCAATTAGCCGCTTCAATGTCAATCGATCAAAACTGTTTTGGCACCAGGAGTCCAAGACTTCTGCCACGGACCTGTTCGCAAAGAGCGCCACTTCTGCGTCATGGACGCCCGATCGGCTGGCCTCCCCGACCCAGTCCTTGGAAGGACTGGTTGACTGGGTTGAGGACTGCATGGGATTCTTTGGTAGCGAAAACGCAAAAAATTAAACGTGCGAATTGATTCATTGATAGGTTCCAAAGACAAACGCGTTCAGGACACCCACCCAAAACAAAGTTTTTAGCCATCTGAAACCAAAATGAAACTTGCCGATTGTCTGTGTTCAGGGTGGTAATCATATCACAGTGAAAGCAACTTGAGGATTATAAAGAGGAAAACCATGTGTCTATAAAACTAAAAAATCGGTCTAGCATGATGCGCTAGGCTGCTAGGATTGTTTTTTATATTGCCACTTGTGTTTCTAAAAGGTATTGCCTCTATTGAATGAGGTGGTTTGGATGCTTTTATGCAACAAAACCGCAATCGTGTACAAACTGCCCAGCCGACATATGAAAGCAACAATAGAGTCAAAAACAAATACATTTGTATATACACATATTACATCTAGCCGCAAGATTCTTCATAAATTCACTGCAAGGGATGTCAAAAGAGATTCTTAGACCATAGCAACACTGCAGCGGATTATGGGACACAAACTAAATGTGTGCCTTGACGCCTGGGCATTTCATTTTACCAAGCGTGTAAAGTGCGAAAAACCTAGAAAAATGGCAAACACAGCAAGTAAGAAATGGTAGGGAAAGAGTCGGGAGGGTCCATCATCAAATGCCTTTCCAGTGATCTTGTTGGCCCTTAACTGTGCTGTAATAAAATGCCATAGAGTCATTATAGCCAGCTTAGGGGAAATCAAGCACCACCAGGGAATACCAAGGTTGGGGGGTAAGGGATCAAAAAAATCCGCCCACACCGCTTGTCGGTGCAGGGCCTGCTATTGGGGCTCTTGAGCTCTGCCGCCTATGCAAATAGCTCTGCTAGGTTTGGCAAGGCCGAAACCATTATGGGCCCCAAGGTAGACGAAGTTGGCCCCAAGATGGCTCCAACGCAGCCGTAAGAGAGCCAACCTCGCACCTAGATGGCTGCACTTGTCCCCAACCTGGCGCCTAGATGGCTACTTCCATTTCACTAACTTCGGCTGTTCGTGCGCGGTGTGGGCGGCTGTGGATGCGAAGCGTCTTGAATATTCTCCCGGCAAGAGACCCCAAACAGTGTATGTGGTCCTCTTGTTCAGGGTTTGCTTTACAACCAGGGCTTTGAGAAAACCCTCCCACCTTGAGCATTGTAAAGATATTGGGCAAGGATGCGGTTGGAAGTGCATCACTGAACATGTGAAACAAACACTGTGCGTGATATGAAAGGAGCATTGTGAAATATTGGGCAGCGATGCATCTTGAGTTTGGACACATGGAACTACTTGAACCGCACAAACCTTTGAGGGAATGGAATAAATTATGTATGTATATATATATATATATGTATGTCTAAAATTATGTTCCAGCATTGCCCTTAAACCAACAAGACGGTCAGGCGCATTTTGCAATTGTATGCCTGTGTGTGTGCGTCCAGTGGTATCGCCCGCTTCTACCCATCTGAAGCCACCTGGCCCCTTTTTGCTGGGTTGGGTTGCGTGGGCGCAGGTGCAGGCCAGGGCTGCAATAATGTCAGCGCTAATTTTTTTGGCTTTGGTCCAGTGAAGGTGTTGATTGCTACCAAATTTGCAGGCTCTCGCTGCCCAAGCACTCGACGTCCGAAGCACTTATCTTAGCTTGAAGTGCATGTGGTTTCCATTGGAACCAAGTGTCCCATCAGTTTGTTTGAGGAGAGTCCATGGCTGTATATCAGGCAGGGCCAACCAGATCAACCCACAAAAGATGGTGATTAGTGCAGGAATTCAACATTCAGTTGGTGTGAACACTGGTGCTTTTCATCATTTCGGAGGCGACCCTTCCGCGTGATCGATCGAGATCTCCGGCGACTGTCCGATCGAAAGCTCCGGTGATTGCTCCCCTTCAACTTCGTCGGCTGGACTTTTCTCGGACGGGATTCAGTGCACTTCAGCGATTGCAGTTTTGCAATGTCAAGCATTTGTGTTTTAATCGCTAGGTACTCCATGAAATTCCAAACTAAGAATGCCTTTGACTTGCCAGCAGTGTTGTTTTGAGCTATGCATCAAGTGTTTGCATGAAACAATTCCCCAAATCTTCACTTGAATCATCTTGGAACCCATCGCCCAGGAGTCCCAATATAGTCAAGAGGGAATTTCAGAACCAGCTACCTCGGATGGATGTCTGAACCTAAGACATCCGCAATAGCTACTTAGTGGTGTTTCTCTTCAGTGGGTCACTTGTTGTGAGGCAGGCGCGCCATTGGAACCTATCAAAGTGGCCGATGGTGATGAGACGACCGATGGTGAGGCCAAAGTTCAATTAATTTCAAGTGCATCTCAAGACTCAAATCAGGAATACCTCTCAGTCTCAAAGCAGCGTCGGCTTTCCGACAGGATGGCAGCAGCTCTAGCACCCTTCAAACGCCAGAGTTTGCCTCTTGGGTTCAAAGGTTCAAACCAAGCCATGTGGGCACATGACATGTGATGTACTATGATCGTACTATGTCATGTGTCATGTGTAGTGTTGAAGGGACCACATGAAGCATTGAGATATCCAAGGAACCTGTGGCTACAAAAACGGAGTTCAAGACCATAGTTTTGAACAAGGTGCGGTGTGCTTTCCATTGCTTTCCTGACATGCATTCTTCCGAACATGCTGAAGTAGCGCTTAGCTGCTGCATAGGTCATGGAGTATCTTCCAACAGAGCGCAATGTGGACGTGGCCTTTTCGAATGTGAGGTGGGCGTTGCATGAAGCTGGCATGCAATTGCAATCGGGTGAAACCCTCGATGTTAGATTCCTCACTTGTTTAAGCTGGGGATTTTGAGGGGTATCCACAACCTATATAAGCTTTGTGGATTTGGGAACACATCCTTGAAAGCTTGGATGTTCGTGGGTGCAAAATCTGCACGACACCAGGGAAAAGGGTCGCAGTGTATATAGTATACAGACTTTGACAGTGTTATGCATTGCAAAGCGTGTCAATGCTGAAACTTTGAGCCTTTCGTTTCTTTGCGTTGCAAAGGTTGGTTGGGTTCAACAGATACAGTTCCTTGTTGGTGAGCCCTTGTAGCGCCATGCCCACTCTCCTGGAGCCTGTGGAAGACTTGAGTGGGTTGGGCCCTTACTTGTAAGTAACAGCGTGACTAAACACCCCAGCTTCTAAACACCTTGAAACCACATTGTCCACCTTACTAAGTTCAGAACCAGAGAGCTTGGCCTATGAAGACCAACAGCAACCGTCCACAACTTGGCCAGCGATGTCCCTCTCACGGTGCCACTCACTCTTTCGATCAGGTCTTCTTCTGCAAGCCTTGATGAGTATGCCAAGGCGGGTCATTGCTGAGTATTCGGCTCAGATCTACCACACTTCTTGTTATTGGTCAGGGCACGCTGCCGAAGATCGCCTTTACATGTGGTGATTGTAAGATCCATACTCACCGACCGTGGTTTCTCCCGCAAGCCAAATGGCAACCGTTGAACCTGCGGCTAGATACTTGATTGCAACTCTCCCTAGTTCGTGAGTTCATGATTGGCTTCTGCATGGTTTTCACTTGAACCTGATTTGACTTCTATCAAGGACCCTGGAAAGCAGAAGTTGAAGACGAAGGACGCACCGCCGAAAGTCCAGCTCGCGTCGTCTCCCCTCCATTTCGAGCTGGGGCACCATCCGCAAGCGTCTCAGATCTTTGGCTTCCTTTTGCCTGCTCAGCTTGAATGCAATAGTTTTTGGACGTGAGGCTGGTTTGGAGCGACAGTGCGGGTGAACCAAAACATGGGGGGCGCCTAGGGGTACCGGTACCGTGCAGACTCCCTGGATTAATATCGATATTAATCCGCTATACCTGCACATACATTTCTGAAATTAATCCAGGGACTCCGCCCATAGTCGGGATAATTTATAGCAAGAAACTAATCAAGCAGGATTGAGAAATAATCCAGGTACAGCGCCGACATAGTTGCAAATGATCAGCCGTCGACGGATGTCCTCTGCACACATTTTATCACGCTTTTTTCTGACCCAGCGGTATGTTCTGTGAAGGATTGTGCGGTCTCTGCGTAATGGCTGGAATGCCAAATAGCCTCAAATGGCACAGCCACGCGAAGCCGCCTGTGCCTAGTCATCTAATGTCATCTGTTAACACATGTCTGCACAAAAAATTAATCTGGGTATGTGTAGGAGTATACCCATCATGTCATCCTGCAAAAATTAATCCCAACACATTAATCCAAAAAAAATAATCCGCGCTCCGGGTTGTTATCTTGGATTAATTACAGAAGGCGCCCCCCATACCAAAACTGTCTCTCCAAGCGCGGCAGTGGCGTACATGACTCAGGGATTGATTTCCAGTGACATGAAAGTGGATTCCGAATCATCCTTGCTTGGGGACCCAAGGATTTCGCCAACCAAGTGTTCTACTCATCGCAGTACACCTCCGCGTGCCGGAACCATGGGTTGTCTAAAGGCATCTACATCACGCCCAGCACCGGCGAACTGATGTCAGGAATTTCTGCGCCTTCTCAATCTGACCAATTCCACCTTCTCAATCTGCTGCAGGACTCCCGCAAGGTTGGACATGTCCTGATGCTGGAGCGGTGAAAGATCGCTTGAGCCTCTTGTATCCTTGGGTGGAGTCGAAGGCGTGGTGCACTTCAAAAAAATAAAATAACATGAATCTTTGATTGGAGGCCATCCAGCCCAAGGCGAAGGTAGCTTCATTGTTTTCAGGGGCGCTCGGACTCGAGCTTGGATTGAGACAGCTAGAGCCGAAGGTTTCATGATCCATTGTTTTGCCAACCTTTGAACAAAAGCGTTCATCGTTATCAATCGTTGAGGTGGGTGCAATGCATTGGGTATGCGCATTGCTGAGTCACAAGTATTACAAACATTCACTCTTTTCAACCCTCCTCAAATGTCAAACCAACAGCTGGAAGTGCTTAGGTC